CCCCAAAACCCCAAAACCCCACTGTAACAATAATTGTTGAAGAATGATGAAATTAATAAATTACTAAATTAATTCAATTTTTTTTTCTTTTATTTTTGTTTCAAATCTGATTTTTAATAGATTGTTAGCCTTAGAATTTTCTCTATCTTAATTTAATGTTTTGCACTACACTTTTCCTGTCAATTTAGAAAGTTTCAAAATTGTTTTCTCCTATTGTTCCTCCTACATGCCAAGAATTGTGATTTTAGAATTTGAGATCTGATGCAGAGATTTATTAATCAGTTACTTAATCAAGTCCTAGCTCTGCTAATGCTGAGTTAAATCGGTTAAATCTATCAAAATTTGGCAGAAGAAAAGTAAATGGCATTACTGCTACGCAAAAGAACATTTGGATACATTTGAGCTTATACATGTCCTCTATATTATTCTTATCTACCTGTGTGAATTATTAATTCAACGCCTATGCTACTGGAATACTAACAAAACTTTAGGATATGACAGCAAATGAAAGGTAAAGAGAGCCCATAGATGTTTAATATCTTGATGGAGATAATTTCATGTAAATAATCTAAAGAGAAACATCATAGAATATCGCATGAAATGGATCTGCAATGAATGAAATTCCAATTGTGTAAGCAATATCAGGAATGATACCCACATTCCATCTCATATTCTGAATAAAGACCAGGAATAGTGAAACTAATTTCGCAAATTAATAAACTAAGACTAGATTTCTAGGTTCCCAGTTACTAAACCATTTTGAAAGGTAAAAAGTTCCTTAAACTGCAATGATATATCCGATAATTGCTAGCAGACATATAGTTGTGTTACTATAACCTAATACTTATGAGCTGAATCTTGAGTCAAAAGGTGAATACTATGGAGAGAGAATAGCGTGGATAAAAATGAAAGCTAGCGTTAAATATATCTCTTTAAGCATCCATATCTTTTACCAAAATGTTCGTTTCGTTTTTCTTAAAGGAGTTTTTAGAATATTAGTCTGCTAATTTATTGATGTAAAGTTTATAGAATTGTTAATTTCTACTTAGCTATTTTTGTCAAATTTCTCATCTTCATCATTATCATTCATTAAATTTTCCATAGTCTCTTTGATTCGGCTTTATCTATTCAAATACCAGAAAAAGAAGATAAACACTAATAGTTGTAAGATTATTAGGCCGCATATTATCCAATAACAATTATTAGTCCCAAGATATTTAGTAGAGATGGCTGCTATTATGGCACTGATTATTCCTCCACAGTTTGATAAACAATATTAGAGATTCGTTAAAATTTTCGCTCCTTACAATTAATCTTTATCGGCCTCTTTTTTAATAAAATTTTAGAAAATCAGTATAATTAGAGCTCCTGAGAAATTTTCTAGAGTTAGTATAAATGTGAGT